CATGAAAACAACAAAATACTTAAATTTGTAATATTTATTTCAACCAGTAATATTAGTAAATTTGGAAACAAAAATAATTTTGAAATTTTAGCTACACTCCAATGGCGAAAAAAAAAAAGTACATATCAACCTCAAATCCTCATTAATTAATTAACTAATTAATTAATATAAAATGACTAAGACGTCCCTCAATAATTTAAAAATTTAAAATATATTATTAATATTAACATAATTTGTTAGTGGTGGTAACTGTCACTTTACACATAATTAAAGGAGAAATTTGTATGTGATAATAATGCATGGCCTGAGTCTACAATATATGTATAATTAATGGACTAAAACAACAATTTTCCCATTTATATATTTACAAGTTTAGATCAACGATATGCTAAATATCAAATGTCCAGACTCAAGAGTCAAGTTGGCTTTCAAAAAAAATATCAAATGTCAAATTTTAAAATTATATAAAAAAAAATTGTAAATAAGTACTCCCTAAGATTTAAGTTGACGTTTTTGAATTGATACTTAACAAGATAGAAAAATAAGATAAATAAAGGTTATGCTACTTTTTTATTACAAAGGGAAGGAGATACCCATATAAACTACGCCTACAACAAGACTTGAAACCTAGACCTCCCACAAAGGAGAGCAATCTAATATCAGTGGACCACAAGCCACTTGGTAAGGTTATGCTACTTTGATCCGACAAATATAATCTCTTAATTTTTATTTATTTATTTATTTATTTATTATTATTATTATTATTATTATTTTGTGGTAATTTGAAGCAAAAGGAAGTTAAACGACCAAAAAAAAAAAAAAAAACTCACCTTTTAGATCTCCCTTCTTGGAGACATCTAGTCGCAATAATCTCCTAACACTCCCTGACAAATGGTCTAGAATAAGTTTGTTTTAAGTTAACAAAATTATAAACATATTTGTTGATTCAAAAAGTATACGAAAATTCTCAAAATGGGTCGTCAAGTGAGTAAAATATAATTTTTGTACTATAATTTGACAAGTTTGATTCTTGTCAATCGCACAAAGTTGGCTCTATCATTTTATAGGTTCGGGACATAGTAAAAATAACGAGCCTTAATATATGAAGTTAACATGTGTTTGTGTGTCGTGGGATGTTCACCCACCCCGGTGTATTTATGCTTTATTGAGCTAATCTATCAGTTTCTCTTTGCTTCAAAAACATGTGTTTGTGTATTGCATTATTTAGTTCAAAAGATTGTATGAGTTAATTGAAAATAATTAAACGATAACTTTGAATTTTTGTCAACATATATGTTTTTTAGAGTTAATTCCAGGATTGCTCCCTTGACTATTGACATTTATTAATTTTTATTATTTGACTTTTAATTGGACCATAAATGATTCATTGACTATTGATTTTTATCAATTTTCATCATTGATTTTCAATATGACAATAAATGGTTCATTGACTATTGATTTGTTCCAAATTTGGTCATTTAGTTAAATATATATTTAATACTCATTAAATTTAAGAATAATAATGTAAACATTAAATCCGATCGACAGTTCTTGTTTTTTTTTTTTTTTTTTTTTTTTAAATATTTATTTATTTATTTATTTAAAATTATTGTTTTAAAAAAATATTTTAAAAATTGGTTGCCGCTACATCAGCATACATTCAGATAAATAAGTCATTTTTAGTTAAATTGCATGAATTCATGTTATTCAATAATCCAATTGCATTTTTTTAATTTGATAGTCTAATTACAATTTGGTGTGCAATTACGTGGCCTATTTGACCCTTATTTATATTATTAAAAGTAACTCGGATCCTAATACACAATCCCTAAGTATATACCATTTGTTTTTTTTTTTTTTTTTTTTTTTGAAAAAAGTATATACCATTTGTAGATACAATGATACTCCCATTTTGTTTTAATTTTTAATGTAAACAGCAGCTCACTAAACGAGAAGATTTTTTTCTTTAAATGAAAAAAAAAAAAAAAGACAAAGAGTAATTATTTTTAGACAATCGAGGTTTAGAATGTAATTTTAAATAATTTCGTTCCTTATTTTATAATCTTCTCTATGTGTCATCCAATAATATTACATAGAATTTCAGTATTATATTTCACAATGATTGGAGTCAACAGAAGTTGTCTACTGGGGTTAAAATGTCAAAGCAGATTAAATATAAATTATTCTAATTGGCGGTTAATTTTTTAATTATTTTTATTTTTTAAATAATATTTTTTTCTGGGCATAGTGCATTGGTTCAGATGAATCATGAAAGGCTTAAAATTGACTGTTAAGGAATATAAGCATTTTTATTCCATTTTTCCTATTTTCCTATTTCTTGGAAGCTGGGGAATTAATTAATTAATTAATTATTTTTTTTTGAATGTTACTAGCTCTATTACATTGTAGTATCTGTTCATATACTTTCTCAACCTACTGAAACATAAAGAGCCAATAACGCCTCCACTATTAATTAATTAATTATTTATTTATTTATTAAAATTTTAAAAAAGTCTTTACCGTGTTTTGGCGTAGGTCAATCATTGCATTAAATTCCAAACTTCTGCGGTTAAACCGGGTTTATGTCGGGTTCACATAATTAAAATATTTACCAATTAATTAATTATTTACTATTTTAACTGTTAAAGAAATGCTGAAACAAGCAACCGTTTCAATTTTTATATTATATTTAACAAGTTTCCATGCAATTGTAACTTGTAAGGTATATGTCAAAGTTTTCATAAACAAATATTTCTGTTTTACATATATATACAAAGACCCTGTTTGGTAAAAAATTGGCCTATAGACCAATTTTGGCTTATTTGACCTATTTGATTTAGTTAAAATATCAATATAAATGTTTGGTTAATTAGCTTTTTGCAACTCCAAAAGGCTAAAATTCAAAAAGCTACTCCAAGCAACTTTTTCAATTAGCTTTTTGAGAAAAGAAATCATACCAAACAGCTATTAGCTAACAGCTAATTTACCAAACACTTTTCTACAATCAGCTAACGTTATCAACTATTTATACCCTCTAATTAATACAATCAGCTAACAACTAACAGCTATCAGCTAACAGCCATTTTACCAAACAGGGCCAAAAACAATATTATTTTCTTCTCCTAAATATACACCTCCTTATATGATGATAAACTTATTATATTCATTGACTATTTTTTACGTAATAGAATAAACCGTGACTTAAACAAAAAAAAAAAAAATAGTTTGCTCAATAATCAAATACCCAAAAAAAAAAAAAAGAATCAAGTAATGTACATTGGGAGATTTGTTTTTTTATTTTTATTTTTTATTTTTATTTTTTTTTGTTTTTTGTTTTTTGACAAGAGGGAGATGAATATTATAAGGTAACTTTAAGATAAACATATAACATTATGCCCATAATACTTTTCATTTCTTTTTAAAGAAATTACAATTTTCACCCGTACGTTGTACGGAATGGATTTGTTATAATATGTTAATAACATTTAAATCGAAATATAATTGTGTAAATTGTAACATCGAATATTATATAGTGCAATTGAATAATTGAGTTGAATCGATTATGTTTTGTGATGTTATCGTTGCTTGAATTTGAGCAAATAAATTAACCAATTAATAGCCAACATGTAGATATACACATCCAATCTCGTTGTGTAGCAACTCAGTTATAGAAAATATTTGTACGGAAGATACATTTTCTATGTAAATATATATAACAATTTTGTCATCTTTGTATAAAAATAAAACATAATATAACTACTTTGAATTACACATTATTGAAAACTTCTTTGTTGACGACATTGGTAGTAGTAACAAAATTTTTTGTCCATCATCTTCTAAAGCTAAAACTTTCAGGCCATTAGGATGGGTGACTCCGGAAAAAGCCACGTACAATTGACGACCGATTTTTTCAGCAATAACTCAATGTGAGTTAGTGTTTGACCCTGACTTTTGTTGATAGTTATGGCATATGCGAGCATCAACAAGAATTGTTTATGTTGAAACTTGAAGGGAAATCTTTTATCAGAAGGGGTGAGAGACATTCGGGTGATAAGAACTTTAGTTCCTTGATTTGTCCCATTACCTATTCTTGCTTCGACAATGTGATCTGCCAATCTTGTGACGGTGAGATGCGTACCATTGTAAAGACCAAGAGAGTAGTCTATGTTCCGCAATAACATAACATGTGCACCAACCTTTAATGTCAATGAATGATTAGAAAGTCCAGACAATCTCAAACTAATGTCAATGAATGATTAGGAAGTCTAAACAATCTCAAACTATTTACGAATTCAGAAGTGTGTACTTGTGATAGATTTTCACCATCTGATTCTGACTTACACAAAGAGTCACAACTTAAATATGTTCAACCTTCTGCAGTGTTCATGTCACACATGTACTGATTAATTTGATCAATGACATCTAAAGTCGATGACAGGATCGCTCGTCCTTCTATGTGCGACTCATCAATCATGCCATATCTCGCTCTTGGGAAGGTGTTTTCCACAATAGTTGCTATGGGATCGTGTCTACACTTCAACAAAAAACATGTCGAAATATCAATCTTAGACAAACCGTTGTTTACAACCCATGTTATCGCATCTCCGAAATCTACAATCCATTTTGAAAATCAATCAACCGTCTATCTATCTTCCTTTGAAGCTAAGCTTCGTAATCTCAAATTCTTCGTGAGCCTCAATACCTTGCAATTTGTCCAGAGGTATGAAGAATTAATAGTTGCTCCGACAACTATTGGTCTCGTTGCTTTCGAAATAACTGGAAGAATCTATTTAAAATCACTGCCCAAAACTATTGTCTTTCAACCAAATGTCTTTTTAGCACTACCTGGTATGACAAAACTCAATATATTACTCATGGTTTTGTCAAAAGCCTCAAAATAGTGTTTACGCATCATTATTGCTTCGTCCCGTATTATTAATTTTCTCATTATTATATGCTTAGATAGTTCACTGTCTTGAAATATGTTGCACGTGGAATCTTCATTCAATGAGAGTGGTATAGCAAATATGGAATGCACCGTCCAGGCTCCCGACAAGAGCAAATATGCTATTCCACTTGAAGCAACATTGAGAACAATATCTCCGCAACTCCTTATCTTTGAGGATAACATTCTCCACACGAACATCTTGCATGTTCCTCCGTAACCATACACAAAGAACAATCCACTTCCATTAGAATCAATATCATTCATCACAGAGTAGTAAACATTTTTTTGGCTCGTCCGTCAATTGTTTCACCAACGTTTCATGCATTGCCGAAATATTTTTCGACAAATTCTTTTGGAATTTGTAAATGGATGCAAATTCCTATGGACATTACTCATAAATAAATATTAATAAATAGCTATTTAATATCACAAAAATAAAGTGTTGTTTAAATAATGTCTAAAGGCAATACGTACCTTAGAGTTATGAAATAAGTACTCCAGAGTTTGGTGGTTCACAGGTGTGCATTGATATTCTCTAGATAAATAACGCATTAACCGAAGGCGTATAGATGTTTTCCTCGTCCTAGGAGAGAGATCAGATGCAGTGAGAAAATTTGACTCCATTACTAATTAATGAAGAGAAAGTTGAGAAATATAAGAATAGAAAGATAATCTCATTCAGTTAGAACAAGAAACGGTTATAGGAGAGTATATCATAATACACTACTAAACACTCCTAACTAATAGACTAGCTATGTAAGACTAATTCTATGACCACACAATTATAAGCTATGTTACATATAATTAAATAACAATAACAATAATAATAGTAACACTAACACACCCCCTCAAGCACAAGGTTGGTGATCCACAACATTGAGCTTGTCCCGCAGAGCTGTAAACCGTGGTCCGGGCAAAGGCTTGGTAAGGACATCAGCTAGTTGATCTTTGGTGGAGATAAAGTTGACCACGAAGTCCCCCGAGGCCACCTTGTCACGAACAAAGTGGTAATCAATCTCTACGTGCTTCGTCCGGGCGTGGAATAAGGGATTGGCGCAGATGTAGGTAGCCCCTAAGTTGTCACACCATAAGCTGGAGGGGTGCCCCGTGTGCAACCCAAGTTCCCGCAATAATGAGACAATCCAGGTGACTTCAGCGGCGACATCAGCAAGCGCCTTATATTCTGCTTCAGTAGAGGAGCGGGCTACGGTGCGCTGTATCCGAGAGATCCATGAAACAAGGTTGTCCCCAAAAAGACAGCATAACCACTAGTGCTTTTCCTGTCCACCGGACAACCTGCCCAGTCGGAGTCTGAGTAGGCATGTATGGCACTCAAGACTGAGGGAGATAGCCGTAGTCCGTAATTCAGAGTACCTTTGATGTACTGTAACACGCGTTTCACCATTGCCCAGTGATCTTCAGTGGGAGAGTGCATAAACTGGCACAGGCGGTTAACTGCATAGGAGAGGTCTGGTCGGGTGATAGTCAGATACTGTAGTGCACCTACAACACGATGATATTGCGTGGGATTCTCAAACAGTTGATCGGACGGAGTCACCGCTTGAGTAACAGAAGCCTGTGTAGCGAGGGGTTTGCAGTCCGTCATCCCGGAGCGACCTAGTAAGTCAACCATGTATCGACGCTGTGACAGAATCATGCCATCACCTGCCGCAACTGTCTCAATGCCCAGAAAGAACCCTGGTGTGCCAAGGTCACGGATTTTGAACGCGGTGGCGAGGCGACGTAGCAAAGACTCAACCAGGACTGCATCACTGCCCATCATTATGATGTCATCACATAGACAAAGAGAAAAACTTTGGACGCTCCTGTCGAGTGGTAAAATAGTGAGACATCAGTCTTGGATGAGGAAAAACCTGCAAACAACAAAAAGTCATGAAGTCTCTTAAACTATGCCCTCGGGGCCTGCTTGAGCCCATAGAGTGAGCGCTGTAAAAGACAGGCGTGGTCAGGATGAGCCGGGTCTTCGTATCCCGGTGGCTGTTTCATGTACACTGTCTCAGCTAAATAGCCATTGAGGAAGGCGTTGTGGACATCCAACTGCCATAGGGTCCATTTGTTTGACACAGCTAATGAGAATAAGATGCGAACTGTAGTGGGTTTGACAACTGGATTGAAAGTGTCGGAGAAGTCCTCCCCTGCGACTTGATTAAAGCATTTGGCTACTAAACGAGCCTTGTAGCGATCAATCGAGCCATCAGCAGTGCGTTTAGTATGGAAGACCCATTTGCACCCAATGATGTTCATGGTAGGTTCCGGGGGTTACTAAACGCCAGGTGTTGTTGTGAAGCAAGGCATTGAACTCTTGATCCATTGCGTCGCGCCACTGCGGGTGCCCCACAGCTTGGGAGTTGCATGTTGGATCAGTCGTTGCCGTTGGTGCATGAAATTCTTCGTTAGTACCCCGAGTCATACGCCGAAGATGCATGACAAGAGGCTGCACTGCGGTGTTCTGTTTCCGAGCCCGTCTAGGAACGTTTGACTCAATGGCCAATTGTGGCGCTTCTTGAGCCAATGTGATGGGCTCAGGGTCCGGGGTAAGTCCTGGAGTATGAACAAGTTGTTGCGGTTGGACAGATGATATGGGTGCTGAAGCCCATGGTAGAGATCCAGGTGGAGGATATAGGTTTTCCCAGTGACTGAATCCATGCATCTATATCCCCTATAGGATGGTGGGTAACCTAGGAAGACACACGGGGTGGAACGATACTCCATCTTGTGCCGATTGTAAGGCTGTAGATAGGGGTAACATTGACACCCGAAGACTCGAAGAAATTGATACGGTGGGGATTTTTTGTAGAGACGGTAGTATGGGCTTTCAAACTTTAAGACCGAGGTGGGAAGGTAGTTAATTAGGCAGGTGGCGGTTTCAAAGGCATAATCCCAATATTGTTGCGGGACGGAGCCTTGAGCGAGAAGAGCTAAGCCCGTTTCGACAATATGTCTGTTACGGCGCTCAACTCTTCCGTTTTGTTCGTGTGTGTAGGCACATGACTGCCGATGATTCATACCCAAGGATTGGAAAGTGGTATGTAATTTAGAGTATTCACCCCCTAAATCTGATTGGATTGACTTGATAAAGCGTAAAAACTGCCGCTCTACCAACACACGAAACGAGTCAAAAATTTTATAAATATCTGGATAAAACCAGGTGAAACGCGTGAAGTCATCAACAAATAACAGAAAATAACGAGATCCACTTGATGACACTACGGGGGTAGGACCCCAGATATCTGTATATAGAAGATCTAATACATTTTGACTAGAATTTTCAATCCTATCTAACTTGAAACAGGAGGACTTGCCGAGATGGCAAGCCGTGCACGACCCCAATTCTTTGGAATTATTTGACTGAATGGAGCAATTCTGAAGGACTTTATTTTGAACCAAACTGTGTGGGTGACCAAGTCTGTGATGCCATACCGCCGGCGTAGCACGAGAACTAACAAATGCAAAGTGGCAACGTGACACGGGTAACTTGTATAGACCGCCCGAGGTTGGACCCTTAAGAAGTGTGACCTTGGTTTTTGAATCCTTCACAAAAAAAAAAAAAAAAAAAAAAAAGAACAATTATCATGAAACACAAAATAAACATGATTATCGTTAGCAAATTTTTACACAGACAATAATGGTACGGTTAATTTAGGGACGTGCAACACATTAGACATGAATAACTGTTTTGACACGGATGGAATAGATGCATGACCAATCCGCGAGATAGCCAAACATGTACCGTTTCCAACCCGGAGCGTGTCCGCGCCGCCATAATCCTCCGAGTTACTCAACATGCCGGCATCGGGTGTGGCATGTGCGGTGGCGCCGGTGTCGGGATACCAGGAGTCCGCCGGAGAAACGAGAGCCGCTGCGGGATCACCGGAAACTGCCACATTGGCCTGAGCCGGGGGCGGAGCAGAGTACCTCTTGAAGCAGTATACTGCTGTATGACCATGTGAGCGACAAATTTGACACCTTGGTGCCCCTCTCCCACCACGGCCGTGGTTGTTGTTATGGCGTCCGCCGCGGCCACCTCGACGACCACCGTCTGCATGCGAGCTGCTGCCACCACACCCATGTCCAGCGTACAAAGCAGTATGTGTGCCCCCAGAACCACCATCAGCTGCTACGGAATAATCGTCGGCCAAGAAGAAATCAGCGCTTGGAGATAATCTGCCATCTGCGGCAGTGTTACTGGAGTATTTGCAGTCAGCGCTGCAGCATATGTTCGGTACTCAGGTTGGAGGCCTCTCAGGACGTACATGTTCTGCTATGCAAGAGAAAGTGGTTGGCCGGCCTGCGCGAGTGCCTCGACGAGAAGTTCTGCACGTCCAAGAAACTCCGCCGGCGACGCATTCCCCTGGCGGAGGGACTGGAATTGGCCGAGTAGATTAAGGCACCGGGCTTTGGTGTTCGATCCTAGAGCCGTGCAGATGGAGCGCCAAACCTCCGCGGCGGTGTTCCGGCCAACTGCGAGGTGGAGGACTTCAACGAACATTGAAGAGATGAGGAGGGAGAGGATCGACTGATCCTGTTGAACCCACACCTTGTGCGCTGGATTGGGGATCGGATCAGTCGTGGTTGCGTCGGAGCTTGACTCACCGGCGGGTGTCGCAGCAATGGTTGGAGGCGGACACGGGGTGGTACCATCCATGAATCTGACGAGGTCTTGCCCACGCAAGAATGGGAGAAGCTGGGTATGCCAAAAAAGGAAGTTCCTACTTGTTAATTTCAGTGAGAGGATTGGTGCCAGACAGGGAGGAGCCACCGCCGGCTGAGATGGTCTTCTCAGAGGAATGGGAAGGCATGACAGCTTTGGGTGGTTTGGCGACGGGGTTTGGGTGGTTTGGCGATAGAGGAAGCGATCAGTAGGATCGGTTAGGCTGATACCGGATTATAAAGATAATCTCATTCAGTTAGAACAAGAAACGATTACAGGAGAGTATATCATAATACACCACTAAACACTCCTAACTAATAGACTAGCTATGTAAGACTAATTCTATGACCACACAATTATAAGCTATGTTACATATAATTAAATAACAATAATAATAGTAACACTAACATATAATAGAAGAATTAAAAATATATAATTGTAGAAAATGAATGAGTTCGTGATCCTTTTATATTAGGTCAATACATATAAATATCAATTACTGTATACTAAAATTTTTAAATATTAAATATTAGTAACGGATTCTGAGTAATGGTCGTGTAGCATATATATCAATTGCTTATATTAGTTTGTGATCCCCAAGCGTATATAATTGAGTAATGGCCAAAAATATAATAAGCATCCAAATATTCTTGATTTCCATTCCTGTTTTCTACCATGCATACGACGGAAATACAAAAGGAAAACAAAACATGTACCCTCTATATCCCAGTTGGTCAAAATAACATATATTTAACCCGTAACATAAATATTGTAATATAGTAGTGAATATATTCTTACTGTATACGCTAAATAGTATTAAAAAAAAAAAAAAACTGATCAACTTTCCATGAATATCAGTTACTGTATACGGTAACATTGTGTTATTTCAAGAAAATATCCTCACAAGGAATACCAATTACTGTACACTAAAATTATTATATATTAAATATTAGTATTTATAAACATAATTAATTAATTATAAGATTATTAAATATTAAATATTACCTCAATATTGATTTCCATTCTTTTTTCGTTCATAATTATTTGCTAAGATTCAACATTCCTTTATCCATCAAAATTATCTTCCAAACCTTTTTTTTCTTTTATGTATATGAAAATACAAATGTGAAACTAAATCTATACATAAAAAGGGATGCAATTTATTACGTAATGTAAATTATACTAACGCAATTTGAGTAGAATTTGAATTTAAAATTATTAAATATTACTGAGTATTAAAAAGATAAAAATGATATTTTTACTTCAATCATTTCCTATTCCTTTATTACTATAATAAAGTCATGGCAAAAAAAAGGAAAAAAAAAATCATTTTGAGTTTTTTTTTTAAAAAAAAAAAATTAAAATTCATTAACTACATTGAGATTTAAATATTTTGAAATTTGAAAGGTTGTTTACATATTATAATTAGTATAATTATTCGTTAATTAATCTATAATTGACTACTGTTAAGATTAAATTTCTAGTAAAATATGAATAACTAATTGAGGGGTTAAGATTAAATTTCCAGTAAAATATAAATAAATTTAAAATTGAATTTTGTTAAGATTGAAACAAAGTAGACAAATTTAAATGTTGAAATATGAGATAAAACCTAAACAGTGTTATTGGACAGGGACAAACGTCCGTTACATATCAACCATGAATAATATAGAAAATGTCTAATGCTAATAGAAATAAATGTATAGAATTTGAACTAGATTATATCTTATTAACTATTTCAACCCAGATTATCAACCTTCACAACTCTTAACAGATCCCTCATTCTTTGCATCACATTGCTTGTTAGGCTCCAAATTTCCAATAGGACATTCAGGCACCTGTCCATCCAGAAAGTCGTAAAAGGTAGAAAAAGTAAAATAACTAAATAAAGTCACAGAAAAAGGAAAACAATGTAAGCGACAAATAAATAACCTCTTCAAAGAAATCATAATCTTCTTTATCATAAATATGTGTAGGGAAAAATGCATCCTCGAATACTCCCACAATTGAATTAGAATAAAACTGCAACATATACCTGTGAGTGGTTGTTTTGTTTCTATACAAATTAGTTACCACAAAAAAAAAAAAAAAAAAAAAAAAAAATTATC